GTTTGCGGGCTAGAAAGTCTCACGTACTTCTTGGCTATGCCTTGGGGAAGGTTGCTTAACTTCACTGAGACCCAGTTTCCTCATTTGTAAGATGGAGATCCTAATATGTGCCTGGAGGATGGTTGTGAAAAATAAGTATGATGATCAATGGCAAGCATTTAGTATAGTGACTAGTATGTAGTATGCAATAAACAGTGGCTTTTACTAATATTACTGTTGTATTAGCACTATTAATCTTGGCTTCCCACCACCATCATTGGTCATTATTTGGCCTTTATGTCACCTGTGGTTGCTCCACCTCTGGGATCTTAGATTAGGTCTCTCACATCACAAGTGCTCACTGTCCCGGCTCTAGTGCCCCTTTACTTCTATCAGTTGTACAGCTTACTCACTGAGACTCTTCACCCTCTTCATTCTCAACATTTGTCAGCCCATCTTGGCTCAGCTTTCTTCCTTAACCAGGCAGGATATCTATGGTTCAGCCCATCAGTTAGCAGCCTTATGACCACCCTCAACTCCTTAACTTCACACCACCCCGCACCCAGTTCTCCAGCATACTTTCCTTTCCAGTCCCCATCCAGGTTCAGTAGAACTATTTGCTTTCTGCACTGTAATAGGGAGCTGCTGGAGTAAATTGCTTAATCATTCTGATTGACCTCTTTCTACACCTGTGATTGCCAGGGTGTTTATCACTACTCAGCAATTGGGTCACTCGTCCCTGGTCAACTCCCTTTTCCAATCACAGGGTAACTTTTCTTTTCCCCTCTAACATACCCCAACCCGTGCACTTCCTTCTCAATCTCAGCACGGGACGCCCTCCTGGACACTTATCTATATCTGTACCAACTCCCTGTTTCCTTCTCTTTTTTAAACAGGAAGGCACATCACTGCTCTTCTTCAAGGTAACCCTTTCCCCAGCTCTCGAGTTACAAACCCTTCCATTTCCTCTGAGATTATGTCTGATTATCTTCTTCCCCTTGTGACTTTAATTTTCTTTCCCCCCTCAGTGCCTCTTTCTCTCAGCCTGCTAATGTGTCCTTGACTATTCCACCTTTAAAGAACAACAAACTTCCCCGATCACATCGCCCCACTCAAGCTTCCGTTCACCGTCCTCCCTTCCTCACCAAACACGTTTGAAAGAATATATTTACTGAATGAATGCTTTTCTATTTGATTCCGACTTCTCTCTTGAATGTGTGTGTATTTTTTTTTTTTTTTTAGAGAGAGAAGGGGTAAGGTGGGGAGAAAGAGAGGGAAAGAAACATCAATCGGTTGCCTCCTGCACATGCCCCAAATGGGGACCAGGCCCAAAACTCAGGCATGCACCTTGACTGGGAATCGAACCAGAGACCTTTGGCTATGCAGGATGATGCTCAAACCACTAAGCCACACCAGCCAGGGCCAGACCTATACATTTTTTAAATTTAATTATATCTGACTCAGTTCCAACAAAGAAAATAAAACAGCCATTTCCACCAAACTGATGTGAACTGATGAATCTCACATCTCCAAATCTACTCCTCTACCCGTATTTTTAAAATTAAGAGCAATTACTAGCATCGCCATTCACCCAGTCAGACAATCGAGAATCTTCTCCTTTACCCCATACCTAAGCATGTCCTTCCTAAAATCTCCCACATCTGTCTCCTGTCCCTTCCCAGGGCTCCTGCTGCACAGGGATGTTGTGAGGGTTAAATGGAATAATAAATGGAAGCACACTCTGTAAGATGTGTGCTGTGCGCACAGAGATTATTTAATATTATTATATCTTTGGCAAAGTGAGCATGAAATTAAATTTAATATGACTTGTTCTTTTTTTTTAAGATTTTATTTATTTATTTTTAGAGAGGGGAAGGGAAGGAAGAAGAGAGGAAGAGAAACATCAATCTGTCGCCTCTTGCAGGCTCCTGACCGGGGAACCTGGCTCACACCCCAGGCATGTGCCCTGACCCGGGAATTGGGGAATCGAACAGGCACCCTTCTGGCTTGCGGGACGATGCCCATCCAACTGAGCCACACCAGTCAGGGCATAACTTGTTCTTAAAAATACAATTCTGGATCTTAGTAAGCAATGCTTTCTTTTCTAATCACAAACACAAAGCATCTGTTTGGCAATTTGGTCTATAATTTTTTCAGGAATTGGTCAGTGTCAAGTTGTTCAATGTACATTTTCTGGTTTCGCCTCTCCTCACCCCATTTTTAAATGTAAAATATGTGATTCTTCAGGTTTATGGAAAAAATCCTCCACTCTCTTTACTTTTTAAAGGTGAGAGGCAGTGGTTGTGCTGCACAAACATTTCCGAGGACATGTGGTACTCTACCTTAGCATTCATCTATTTCTTCTACTCACTGAAAGTGGCCAGAAGCTCTAGTTTCCTCATCCATTCTGAGTTTCAATTTCAGAGAATTACATTTGAATGAAACAATGTTTCACTTTGTTTGATTCCTTTCTTGTTTAATGAAAATGATCAGACTTTAAGCATTACTCTTCCATATTATTAGACGAGATTTTTCTTTTTTTTTCTTCTCAGCAATTAGATCTGGAAAGTGTTTTCTTCCCAGCAGTTAGATCTGAAAATTTCCAAATGTATCAAGTCACCCTCAATTGCTATAGACCAAGGCCAAGAGACTTAAGAGGCACTGGTGAGAAGTAACAGCAAAAGAAAGTAGTATCAACAAGAATATAGTGTTCCCATTGACTCCAAGATAACTTTATAATTAGTTATTAATGTAACATTTTTATATTCTTTCAGGATATATTTAGGTTGAGAATACATTTAAAAACATTAGCTTAGCCAAGGCCGGGTAGCGTAGTTGGTTAGGGCATCATCCCGATTCACCAGTGTTGTAGGTTCCATCTCCAGTCAGGGCACATACAAGAATCGCCCAATAAATGCATGAATAAGTGGAACAACAAATCCATGTTTCCCTCTTTCCCTCTCTCTTTCTTTCCTTTCCTCTTTCTCACTCTAAAAGTTAATTAAAATATGTTAACTTATTACCTGGATTCTTAATGTAAGGAGCAGATCTTAAATTCTAGGAGTCTGATACATTTTGATATAAGTTTTATGGGTCAAATTCTATTGCTCCAAATACCGCATAATTTGGCTTAAAAAAGATTTCCATTTAACATGAGATGGCTTATTTATTTAGAGCCATCTTTTAAAAATAGTTATTGATTTTTTTTTGGAGAGAGAAAGAGAAAGAAACATCCATTTTTTGTTCCACTTATTTTCATTGGTAGATTATTGTACGTGCCCTGATTGGGGATCAAACTACTTAAAGCCATCTTTAATGAAACAGAAGACTTAGGATCCTCTCTGTATGTTACTGACTTATTAGTAAAGTATTAAAAATACAGGTCATTTCCATTGTAATTTCACAAATGGCTAAGTGAAGCCACATTTGATAAGATTTCTGAGGCTTAAAAATTTTAATTGAATTTAAGTCAGGCATCTAGACATAATTCAGAAAAAAAATTAATCAGATGAAGTTGTTCAAGTTAAACACAACAACAAACTGAAAAGGTACTCTGACATTCTGGACTGTATAGCTTTCCCCACAACTGAACCTACCAGATACACTGAGGGCAAGTAAATAAAACCAAAACTATATTTGGTGAAAATAATGACTAGATTGTTCCAAAAGAGCCAAAAAGACTGTAAGCACGAAAGTTGGCGGTACATGGGTGAAAATATTAAGCCCCTGTTATAGTCAAGATAAGGTAAAACGTGTCTTCTGTACAAAGTCAGGACAGTCTACTACGAATGGGCTCCGTTTGGCTGTCTCATTTTCTGGTCTCCTAGCCAACTCCCAACCTTCTCCCCACCAAACTGCTCCCCTCCTAAACCTTGCTTCAGTACATGCCTAAAATCTGGTGTTCCAGAAGTCTGCTGTTGACTCTACAACCCTCAGTTTACCCAGAAATCAACCACTCCACCAACTGCACTCTGCATCATCTCCGGCCTGGATTAAGGCAAGAGTCCCCAGACTGATGTCCCTGCTTCTGCTGCTGCCCAACACCCACCCCCACCCCCAACAAAGTCTATTCTCCATCCAACACCAGAGTGGCCCTTTCAAAAAGTAAATCTGAGTATATCCCTTCCCCATTCAAAGCGATGGGCCTCAGAGTGGAAGCCCGGTCCTTACAAAGGCCTACAGGCCGGGCACAGTCTGCTTTCCCATGCCCACTCCACCCTGACTTCATTTCTGCGGCTCTTACGGTGCTCGCTCCGCCGAGCCAAACCAGCTTTCCCCAAATGTGCCCATACGCTCCTGCCTGGAAGCTTCTGCTGGAGCCTTTCCCTCTGAACACTCTTCCCCCAGAGAGGTACTGGGACTACCCCCCTCACTTCTTTCCGGTCTTGTGCTTAAATGTCATCTTTTCCAGGAAGCCTTCCGTGGCTACCTCCAGTTAAAGTTGCAACCCTCTCCCTGCTCCCTATCCCCGCTCTTCCCTGCTCTGCGTCTTCAGTCCTTAACACCACGGGACATAGCACACATTTATTGTTTATTATCTCCCAGTAGAATGGAAGCTGCGTGAAGGAGGGCAGTTTTCATCTGTTTAGAAAACTGTGTGGCACACAGTAGGTGCTCAATAAATATTTACTACCTGTATGCATAATTGTATAGTTTGTAAACTGCTGTCACGTAAGTTAAATTCCACAGTAACTCACTTCCTCCTTATGCCCCCTTTTGTCCAAATTCTCCCATCTTGGCGGTAACAATATGAATGACAGCAAGGGGTATCAGGCAAAAAGTTGCTGGCTACTTGCAAAGCTCTTTAAAAAGAGATAACCCCGCATTCACTAACTACGCCCACAACACGAACGCTCAGAGTCAACATCTTTATTAGCATTAAGTTGCTGGGTGTGTCGATCTGTTTGCTGAAAAAATGAAAGTTGAATTCAATATTCAAGGAAGCACGGGTCCGAATTCAACACCAACGTACATGCAACTCCCTCAGCATTTCCGATCTGCTTCAAGCGAAGCGGGTGCTGTCACTGGGTGTGTAAGGCTGCAGAGCACACAGGGAATGCTTTGTTTTGTTTAACCCGGTGAGCACCAGGCGGGGAAGCGTTTCTTGCAGCCTGGGGGCTGATCCCCGCCGCGGCGCAACGACCCACCCGCTGGCCTCCACGCTGGCTGCGGCGCCCGGGCTTCCCCACAGTTTAATCCCACAGGTGGCGACGGGGAAATTAGTTTAATCCCCCCCCCACCCCCAACAAGGCTCCGGCGATGCCCGGGACAGACGGCAGACGTCCCAGAGGACCCTCCGGAGAGCCTCTCTCCCGGACCAGGCAGGTCGCAGGCTCGAGCGGGAGATTTGACAGGTGGGCAAGCAGCCTCGGGGACAGGGCGCCAGGAGCGACCAGGGGGTGGTGGCGCGGAAACTGTCAACTCCCGCCGTCAACCAGCCAGTCCGGGCCCGGCCGGGGTAGGGGCGCCGCGGCACCCGATAATCAATGCAGTCCAGACAGCAGCGCGCTCGACCTCCGACCCCGCGCCGGGAAATAAAGTTAGTATTGGTGGCCGCGCGGCGCCGCCGAGCTCCGGCTGCAGCTCGAGGCTGCCCAAGGCCGCGGGAAGGCGTCCCGAGCCCCAAGCAGGAAAGGAAGCCCAGGCCGGGGCGTCGGGCCGCGACCCCAGCCCAAGCTGACAGACGCCACCTCAATTGCCTTCCCTCCAGGCCGCGGACAGGGTCCCGGACCCAGCCCTCCGCCAGCATCGTCGGCTCCCCGCGCCACTTTACCTCTAGTCTTGCCACCACCGCCGCCGCTGCTGCCGCTGCCGCTGCCGTCGCCGCCGCCTCCACCGCGCGCACCCCTCACAGGGCGAATCTTGAGTCCTCGCCACTGCCGCCGGGGCTAGGAGCTCCCACCCCCGCCCCCTCAGGTAACCCAGGAAACCGGGAACACCGCCCCCTCCCCCGCATCCGGGCCCCGACCCGCCCGCTTGCGCTTGCGCACTGGCTCCGCCTGCGCCCCGCGCCCCGCCCCTCGCTGGTTGGACAGCTCCTGCGTCGCAGAAGTGAGGCGTAGACCCAATGGGGAAGGGAGGAGGGCGGGTCTAGCCAATGAGGAAGGGAAGAGGGCGGGCCAAGCCGCTGGAAGGAGGCCGGAGCTGGGACTGGGCCCGGGGCGGGGCCGGGTGCGGCTAACTTAATGAGAACCTGTGCGTTAGAGCCGGGAGAAAATGACCCGGGGATCGTCCTCTGGTCCCCTGTGTTGGTGCAGAGCACGGGGATCAAAGAAATATGGGAACGGATTGTGAGAGGGAGGCAGCGTCTCTTGTAAAGGGTTATGGTGGGCTTCTTTCAAGAATCGTGAAGTTGTTTACGAAGCCGCTGTGGAATTAGATGAGCGCAAATGTGCATTTTTCAGCTCCCCAACACATTTGGGTGCTGCGCTCACTGTCCACGTTGCATGCCTTAAAATAGCGGCGCCTCCAGAGGGTGGGAGCCGCGGATTAAATACAAGTCTGTTTCTGGCTGCATCGCTGACATTGGCTGCCGGTCCCAGCTCGAGGCTGGACAGGCTGCGGCCGCGGGCAGTTGGGTGTTTTAGAGGAACCCCTCCTCACCACCCAGAAACTATGACAAGCACTGCGGGGTGTCCAAGGTAGTGGGACAGAGCCTGAACTCTGAGGGACTGGGATTCAAGGACTACCTAGCAATGCAAACTATAAGCGCATGATCTGTAAATTGACAGGAATTGCTTTAGAATCAACAACTCCAGTAATTTTTGCACAGGGATCAAGAAATATAAATAATTTGGAATATTTATATCCTAAGGCTGTATACCAAATGCAACTTTTAATATCTTTAACTTCCATATGACTCAATGACAAGCAGAGTAATAATTGTCCAGTGATATGCTTTGAAGAGGTTCTCTGGGAAAATCCCGCACTTTGACACATGTCCCCACTGAACTCGAAAGTTCACACCTTTGGGCACACGTTGCCCACTTCCTCGGGCAATGTTTCAAAATAAAAACACTCGTCCCTGGCCGGGTACTCGGTTAGAGTGTCGACCCTGTATCGCAAGGCTGTGGGTTCCATCCCCAGTCAGGGCACATACAAAGGGTCAACAGTGAATGCATTAAACAACAAATCGAAGTTTCTCTCTCTCTCTCTCTCTCTCTCTCTCTCTCTCTCTCTCTCTCTCTCCCCCCCCATAAATAAAATTAAAAATGTGCATACTCCAGGGATGGGCAACATCCCAAAGGAGAGCAGAATGTGCCACCCCACAAAATGCCACTTTGGCATGTGGATTACATTGAGCTGAAGATAATCAAGACCGAGCAGACTTAGGAAAAACTTTGACCTCTCCTTTACCTAAATTCCTAAAGGAATTTAGATAGGTTGCCTGCACCATGGGGTGAGCACCAGATTACCAAATATCTGCTCTTCTTATCTTCCTGTCAGTTGCCATCCTCTGCTTTTGAATCCCCAGGCCCCCTTTCCATTCCTTAGCTCACAGGTGGCAAACATGAGACCTGCAGGCCGAATCTGGCCCTCTACCTTTTCTTATCCAGCCCAGCACCTTGCTTCTACCCTGCAGCAGCACTGAGCTCTCGCTTAACTGTTAAGGAGTAGTTACACTTACACAATCCTAAAATTATATTCAGTCCTTGGAAGGCAACCCCAAGGCTGACGTGGCTCCCAGTGAAAATGAGTTTGACACCCTGCAATTGCCTGCCTTTGGGGCTCATATTTTCATAAGGTTCCAATACACACAAAATTAAATTTGTTTTTTTTTCTCTTTTAAATTTGTTTAAATCTGTCTTATGTCAATTTAATTAGTAGACCAGCCAAAGGAAGAAAGGAAAAATTTTCCACTCCTGCAATACAAAATCCCTAACAAGTTAGTGAAAGAGATGTCTAGGGAAATGTTGGTTGTTTAGCAAATATAGTCGACTCTTGAACAAGTTGGGGTTAGGGGCCACAGCCCTCCACATAAGCAAAACTCCTTATGAAACTTTTGACTCCCCCAAAACTTAACTAGTCAGCCCTTCAAATCTGCAGGGCATTGGTTCCAGGACCACCCCCCACAGATACCAAAATTCACAGATGCTCAAGTCCTTAAAATGGTGTAGAACAATGCCCACAGTCAGCTCTCTGCATCCATGGATCCCCAACTCTGCAGGGAAATACTGTTTTCCATCCACCATTGGTTGAATCGGCAGATGCAAAACCCAGGGACAGGGAGGGCCAACTGTATATTTATTGAAAAAAGTCTATGTACATAAGTGGACTTACGCAGTTCCAACCCTGTAGTTCAAGGGTCAATTGTATAACATGAACACCTACTGTGGGCTAGGTACTGTGCAAGGCACTGGACATCATGGTGAATTTATGTGAACTCAAAGAGGAAGAGAAGTCAAACTTGACCTATTTCACAGTTTTACCTATAACTAAACCTACTCTTACTTACACATGAGCTTTCACCCACTAATCTCAAAATGATTCATTTTTTTAGTGGACAAAAGAAGTCATAGAATTGTTAAGTCTCTCTTTCTCTTGAATGGAAGATAATAGATAATCCTGATTTTGTTAAAGCCAGAGACTGAAATAGACTTTATATCTGTATATGGATATCTGTATCTGTATACAATGTATACAATTGGCCCTCAAAATATTATGTGTTTTTAAAAGACACAAAGTAATGTTATTTGTGACTATTCTTTTCTCTGATTATCTGAATTATAAAACATTTTAACTAAGCTACCACAGTAATGATTTGTTCAAGAATATTTTAAAATATAGATACTAAGTATACATATTAGATTAAACTTAGCTTAAAAGATTTCAAATGAACATAAAAATGTGTAATCATGTACATGCAACAGAAGAAAGAATAAAGTAATAGGTACATAGAAGGAAGTCAGGTATATATATCACATACTAGAAGACTTGGTAAGTAGGAAAATCTTTGGATAATTTGACTTTAAAAATAGATTCTAAAATAAAGGTTTTAAAAGATGCAGTTAATGTATATGTGTATAATTTCACACTAATTATTCGCCAGAATACATTAAAATAATAATTTCATGACTACATGGACATATAAATCAGGTCATGTCATAGTCCGCTCAGAAACCTGCAATGACTCTCAGATCAAAACCTAAGTCCTCGCCACGGCCTACGGAGCCTACACCGCAGGGCTCCCAGGTCCTTGTCCCTTCCTGCTCTCACATCCTGCACACAGACTGGCCTCTTCACTGTTCACTGAAGTTCAGACAGACTCCTGCCTTAACGCCTCCGCACTGGCTGTTCCCTCTGCCCGAAATGCCTTTTCTCCAGATAGCTGCATTTCACCTTCTGGATGAAGTCTGTCTCAACACTGCTCTTAAACCTACACCACAGGCGACTCTGCCCTGGACCCCACACTTGAGTGTCCCTCTTATCACAAGTGCCATCTATTATGGATGGAATTGCTCCCCCCTACCCCCTGCCCATGTTGCAGCCGTAATCCCCAGCGTGACTCTGTTTGGACAGAGAGGCTCTAAGGAGGTCCTTAAGAGTAAATGAGGTTGTAAGGGTGGGGCCCTCATCCAAAGGACTGGTGTCCTTATAAGAAGGAAAAGAGACACCAGACTTTCCACACCAGCACAGGCCATGGAAGAGAGGTGTCACCAGAAACCAGCCCTGCTGGCACCTTGATCTTGGACCTCCAGATCTCTCAGAAAATAAATGTCTGTTGTCTAAACAACAGAGTCTACAATATTTGGTTATGGCAGCCCCAGCAGACTAATACACCCCCCAAAACTAATTTTATTAAAGAACACACAGCTTCTCTGTCACTTGGGATCTGGTGCAGAGAGTTGGCATGGTGTGATCCTAAACGTGATCTCTTTTATCACACTTATCAGCTTCCAACATCCTACTTAATTTACCCATTTATTATGTTTATTTTTATTATCTGCCACATTTAGACAACCATTATTCTGGTTATACTGTACCCCAAGTGCCAAAAGAGTGCCTGGCACAGTAAGCATTCAGTCAATATTTATTGAAGGAATGGTGTCATTAAGAGAATTTTGTTTAAATTCAAATAAGCATGTAAATGCTCAGTTAATTGTACTTTTAGATAAAGTGTGACAACTTTAAGGCCCATGTGTGGCCGTGGAGAGGAATAGATTTGTAAAGAATTGGTAGAGGGGATGCAGTTACAGGAAGATGGTCAAGATTAGACAGAGGGTCCTCATTTGACTACAGACCAAGGAATTGCTACATTATATAGACATATACATTTATTTTTGGAGTGCTTTACTTTATTAGAATGCCTATGAATCTTCTAAAAATTGCTTTTTTTATAGGTACCTTGCAACTTTATTGAAGAGGTCAATTCATAATTCATGTCTCCATTAAGTTGTTATTACAAAATTTATCAGGTTAGGTTTGTATAAAATTCTTTTGTGTAATTCTTTTCTCTACTAAACCCCTGATAGCATTTCAAATCCCCCAAAGTATGTAAATTTTGCTATAAAAATTCATGCCGTTGCATTAAAAAATTGTAACCATCGAAAATATTTTATGAGATGATCTTTTGAAAAGCTAAAAAGTGTTAAAAGAACCTAATTTTCCCTTCTTTGCTGTGGAAACCGTGTGCCTTCCTGTCCTACTTTAGTGCGTGGGAGAAACTGCTTGTGGGTGACAGTGTCATTAATTCTCGTAAAAGCTTTCTTTTTCTTTACTTTTTACATTCAGGATTGTTTTTCTGCTTAGAACAGAAAATATTGAACATATGCCACAGTCATAAATTCAAGTGTTAAGACAAATATCCAACATAGAAAATGAAAGTTTTCTGTGACCTCCTCCCAGAAATCACCGCTCGTGAGTGACACGCATGCCCACAGCTGTCTCAGAGCAGGCATGCTCGTTTCAAACGTTTT